CATTAACCAATCCGAGAATCTCTTGACAAAGAGAGCTATACCAATTGCACGTTGTCTTTTTTTAGTAAGTGAGACATCTCCACTCCTTGAAGACTCAGTATACTATAGAGCTCAATGGCTTGCACTAACTCAATTTCAATTCAATTCAATTCAATTCAATTCAATTCAATTCAATTCAATTCAATTCAATTCTAGTGCAGCTCTAGTGCGGCAATAAAAAGCAAACCTAAATTTTCAAGAATTACATTAAAAAAAAAAGATCTTACAATGCGTTTATGACGCCAATCTTGGCTTCCTCCCATTTCATGACATTTTCCAAGTTTCGGAATCTTTTCAGCTCCTTCCAAGCACAACATCTGCCCAAGTACCAATTCATTTTTATCAGTTTCGTACCACATCTATAAAGATACACATAATAAATTTAAAAAGTGATAAAATTTTCTTTTCTTTTTTTGAGAATTTCATAATAATACTTACTTGTGATTTAACTCTTAAACATGGCATTAAAATAAGTTTTGAACCTTTAGTTTTAATATCTTTTTCACTCTGAATACAAAGCACAGTATTTGAAAGTCTGATTTGATACTGATCGGTATAATTTCTCTTCTTCGAGTGCCAAGGTTGCATCGGTCTCTGATCGAGTTTAGACCATTTATCTTTCAGCCGTCTTTCTGTATCATCTGGCAATGTTAGTTCAGGATAAACCATTTTCAAATACCAGCCAAATGTCTTACATGTTAATCTCTGACGCAATGCTAGTCGCTCTGAGATATCGCCATAGTCAATTGTTCTAGCATTTTTTAAAAAATAATCTTTATATTCGTCCATCCATACGTGTGCAACTCGCAAAGAATTCTTTAACATTGTATCATGTGGATCATCCGAACCATATGGCCGCCGTCTTCTAAACACATGACCCACTCGTGAACAGGGAATAAGCTCGATACTGCCACCACACATCCATAACTGAAAAAAAAGTTAATATTGTATTAGTTATATATGTATTAGTAAAAGAAAGATAAACATAGTTAATATTTACTCGGAATGATATCTCGAGATTCTCTCCACCCCAAACATCCATACCGGTGTCATATTCTCCCATTTTTGTAAAATATTCTCTATCAATAGCAAACAATCCCCCAGCCATAGTTGGTGATCTGTATCAACATATTTAGTTATAAAAAAGTCTATAATTATTTTTATAATAGGTCTAATGTCTATATATATTTTTATAATAAAGCTTATTTATCATCTTACTTGATGGGCTTTACAAAATCTTTATCACGTTTTAATGTCCCAACTGGTAAATTATCCCATTTAAAATGAAGACCCCAATTAAAGCCACCTCTCACCAATGGACTCCCAGTATATTGGAATGTATCTGCATTTATAATATCAATTACAGGCATTGGTACAATATTATTTGAAAAAGCAATTCTTGAAAGAAGCGGTTCTATCCACATTTCATTTACTTCTATATGACTATCCAGAAAAATTAAAACTTTGCCAGTTGCTTTCCTGGCTCCAAATACCCGTGCTCTGATTAAACCTTCTCTCTTCTCAGTTTTAAATAATCGTACTCTAGCATCGAAATTGTTTCTAATATATATTTTTATTTTCTCATGTAACATATCACTGTCACTATAATCATTTATTAAAATAATCTCATGCAAAAGCATCTCTGATGTTCTCTCAAGCACAGAATGCAATGATCGCAATAACGTTGTATGATGCTCATTAGTAAAAACAGATAATTAACTAGCATTTGCCAAA